ATAAAAGTGGTTTAAACCACCACACACCTGAAGTTCTTCTGAATTAGTTTCAGATTATGTCCTCACAGGTTTTCACTGACTGAAAAATCTGTGCATTGAACTACAGTAAGTTACTAAAGCTGTGTACTTTCTTATGAACAGCATTGTTGAAATATTTCTGGACAACTGAAAACTGCAACACAGAAAGTAGGCTTCATACAAGGATAAAGTAGCTGTAGGAAATACCAGAACTACTGCTACAAGTTCTTTATAGAAAGTCTGTAGAATCTACTTATCACAGGTATTTGTCCAATCATGATAGAGACATGTTGCCTTTAAAACACATTATCTCATGTTTGTTATTGGAAAAATCACAATGGTGTACTTATGTCTATGGTAAGAACTGGCCCTGGTTTTAGCAATTTGTGTAGAGAAGCAGCTACTTTCAATTCCCAGGAAAAGGTCATTACTGTGGGCATCTTTTCTTATCTCTACTAGAAAAATAGTCTGTGTTTGGCTATGCTGAGAGCTCTTGTTTTGGTATGTTCTCAATATATAGACATGGTTATGTTGACTTAAGACACAGATATCTTTGAAAAAATCAGAGTACCTTCAAGGTGTTAAAAATTCCACAAACCAAAGAATAATGAAAAACAGTTAACGGTATTGAACATCTAACTGCAAATCTCAGTGCTAATTAAAGGTTTTCACTCCACTACATAAGAAGAAACTAAAAGATAATAAAACAGATCTGCATTATGTCTGTCTGAACTAGATTCAGATCATCCTGGCCTATTCCTTCCGCTTCATACTTGAACAAAGGTTTCTAATTGTGATTGAATTGGGTGGCTAAATCCCTCATTACTTCTGCTTGGAAGAAACCAGTTTTTAAAAGGAGCGTTAAATAATTAAACATTTTTAGGTACACTTTCTTTTTCATAGACAGTTATAAAGTTGCATAGAAACATGAGGGAAGCGTTGCAGAAGGGATGATCTGAGACGTGATGAATGAGAAGTGTCCCATTAAATGATTACTTAAATTATTAAATAATCCTGATATCCAGATCTTCTTCTACCTCTTATTTAAAAAACAAATGTTTGCATGTGTTTGACCTTTAATTCTATTAAGGTAGCATCAGCCTGTTTCTATTTTCAAATGTCTCCTTAGCAAATATTAAACATGCTTTTCCACCAGACTGCTGTACCCTGTGTCAGTCAAGAAACAAATCTAATTATTTTGGCAGTGATTTTTACTCTGGAAAATTCATGCTAATCTGTTCAATATCTGAAGGAAGAGCAGGGATTGGTCTTGTGGCTCCTTTTTATCGTGCCAGCTCTATGAGTACGCTACACGCATATTAAGTTATCAAAGTGATTGAATCTGCACTTGTTTTTTTGGTTCATCTGTATGACTGCCACTGGGTTTTCTCTTCCCCATTGATTTGGTGTCTCTAAAGCGTACACAAAGCCTGTCACATAGGCTAGAATTACGCTTGCCTTTCCACACTGCTCATATAATCCTCCAAGACATTGAATGTAGTAATTTGTCAGTTCAGTTCCCTAACAAGTACTGCAATAATCTCACAATCTGAGATCCTTCATCTGAACATTTACACATTTTTTTTTACAGCAGACTGTTGCTTGTGGATAGTAAAGTACTGTATTTTTAACTGCTGGTAAAAGATTTTTCTTCTTTTTCTACAGATGCCTTGGGGGGACATTACTTTGCATTACAGTGGTTTACATACCTTCCTCTCCTATCTCAATTTCAATAAGATGTCTGTCAGTGGTGGGTTTTGAATGGCACTGCTAGCTAGGGATTTCTTCAAAAGCACAAGATCTCAGAGAGTTGCTGTGACCTAAATTAGTCATAACTTTTCATGAAATTCTGTCCTCCAAACTCAGTGACTATAGCTGTTCCACTCCAAAAGCTTTCTCTGAAGTCTTGGCCCTTTCCACCTCTATCAGGCAATTATTGGATATACCCAGCTGTTTAAGTCAATACCTTATTCAAGCCTATTAAAACTATGGAAGGAATAATAGTAAAAGAAGGACAAAACTGCTGATTGATTATTTACTTGGTGTCTTGAAGCTATTTTACTTTATTCTTATTCAGGCTGCCTGGAGCCTGAAAACACGAGCTTTGACAGAAATGGTGTATGTGGACGAAATTGATCTGGATCAGGAGGGCATTGCGGAGATGATGCTAGATGAAAATGCCATTGCTCAAGTCGCACGTAAGAACAACTTTCGCTTAAATATGTTGGAACGAGGTATTTTAGTCAGGATTGTCATCTAGCATAAAATAGTACATACTGAGGTGACACGATATGGCTTTTAGCTATTGCTGCAAGAAGAGTGTGAGATTGTTTTGTGGCTGCATGGCAATGTTGAGATACACCACATGAGCTTGATGTAGCACTTAGGCCTGTCAGGTGGGAGTTCAGACAAATACTGTTTTGTCAGCTTTCCTCTACATCTCTGTGTTCACTAGCTCTCTTCCATTAATGAATTGATTTCTTTTACTACTTTCTGGCTTCTAGGCACTGTGGGAGACTAGAGTAAAGTACATGCCTTCAATCTACTCTGTATCTCATCTGTATGCCTGTACTCCAGGCTACAGTGGCCATGTTGGGCATCACCTTCTTGTATCATTTCCTACAAACATTTTCTGAACTTTCTCTCTTGTGCTTTTCTCTGCTTTCCCCTCTCTTCTAATTCTTCAGCTTTGCCATTTTTTCTCAAATGCAGCTCTTTTCAGCATCATCAGTTCCCTTCTCAGAGGGCAGTAATTCAGTAGTCTTCCACTACTTTTTGGCATTATTTCTATTTTTGTGTTTCTTTAGTACGGTCCACATGGGAATTTTTATGCATCATATTAGTTGTGACTCTCAACCACCTACCGTGTCAAGGAATTCAAGGGAGGAACTGGACATAGGCCAGAACTAATATTTGAAGCATTAAAAGCTTTTCTCATCTGGATAGAAGTAGGCAATTGCATATCTATCTGATTACATTTCTAAAAATTGTCATTACGTGCTCAGTCACGTATAAACAATCAAGCAGCACTCAGATTGTGTTTATACATTATGATAATCTAATTACATGTATCTGTCTTAAAACAGCATAATAGTGTATAATTTAGGCTTTTATTTGATTTTATGCCCCCTGTGGTAGAGACCATCTGCCAAGAAAAATCATTTGATGAATATTATTGAGAAATAAGACATTCTGGAAAAATACATCCATACTATATTTAAACTGAAAAAAAATGTGACTTTTTGGATAGTGTATCACAGATTTAAAAGCCAAACAAAATTTTAATGATAGTATATCCTGGACTCCTGAATCACTGAGGCAGGACTTTGGTATTCGTGCTTCAAATGCACTTGATGTGCCCAAGCTATTATTTTCAGAAAGTATAAGAACTTTCCATAGAGAAAGGACTCCTGCAGCCTTTAGTAAATTATTAATTTTGCTAGCTTTTATCAGTGTATGCCATATCTGTGGTGGGAATTATCAACTATAGCTCCAGCTGTGGCTTCTTTGTGTACATTTTATGCCTGATACGAGGTCTTTATTTTCAAAGATATATTTCCAAAGTAAATAGTTACAACTGTCATTAAGTCATCCGGTCATCACTTCTTTGATAAGCTAAACAAGCTTTTCATTCTGAGGTATAGATTTTCATTTTTGAATTGAGTCTTAAAACTCTCTTCTTAATCCTCTCAAGTTAATCTGCATGCTTTTTCAGTTGTAGTCACCAAACCAGACAGCAGTCCACAGGCAACATAGAAAATAAATTTTTCTTTAACAGCTTGATTTTATCTTCTTTATACATCTGAAGTATTTTTCTGTTGCACTTTTATATAAAAAGGTAAGCATAGATACCAGTAGAGAGGGTGCAAAGAGGTCGGAGCCAGGCTTTTTTAATTGGTGCCATGAAGAGGACCAGAGGTGATGGGCACAGACTGAAACACAGGGGATTCCCTCTGAACATCAGGAAACATTTTTTTACTGTGAGAGTGACTGAGCACTGACACAAGTTGCCCAGGGAGATTGTGGAGCCTCCCTCCTTGGAGATCTTCAGAAACTGTGTAGACAGAGTCCTGGTCTACTGGCTTCAGGTGGCGCAGCTAAAGCCTGGTTGGACCAGATTACCTCCAGAGGTCCCTTCCAACTTCTACCGTTCTATGACCACTTCCACTTCTATGCATGATTTAATAAAAATGGGTGATTTGTGACTGTGGGCTTTTTCTTTTACTATTAAAGTGTGTTAGCCATGGTTGGTCTTGACTCAGAGTCTTTTACTGTGGCAAATCTTCCAGAATATCCTCCTCCTGCACTATAATTTTACATATAATTAATCTTGCAGCTTAAAAATGTGTAGTCATAGCCTCCCTTATTATAACTGATATTGTCTGTACTTTGCTTATTAAGCAATTCAGATGCTTTTGCATCAGTTAAGAGTCCATTTCAATTTTACATGTGTCCTTATCTTAGTTTCCAGATTAAACTATCTTAATAATGATTATGGTGTAAGTCTTGCTTATTAAATAATTACTAGATTGCTTAGGGTCCGGTGGGAACAGCTACTTTTCTGTGATTCATCTTCACACATATGTAACAAAATCTGTCTTCTGCTGGTTTTTAAATTTTTATAATTTTGCTCTGTTGATTTTCCATCAGTCTTGTTTATTGATAAAAATGTCCTGTAGCATAATTGTACAGAAAAATCCAAGTATGTCATCTTTAGACTCTTAACACCATCAATTTTATCAGTTAAGGTTGTAATCTTGTTTGAAATTGTTACCTTGGCAGCATATTTTTCAGAAACTCATACTAACTTGCATTATGGATAATCACAGCTATTTCATTAACAAGGGAGTTAAAGGAGTCACCTGCAGTCATCACTAACTGCTGAAATTAAGCTCTTAAATTCTGTCGCTGTTAGTGGCCACAGGCACTGCTGTGGCCTCCTGATGCCTATTCATAGCTAATTCAGTTGGGATTCTCAAAGTAAAGACTGAGTGACATAAAGGGAACTAAATACTGTAAGCGTTCTTCCAGTATACCAAAAGCACAAGGGTGGAAAAGGGATTTTAGTGCCCTTTTTATATTATAGCAATAGTTCAAACAAAAGGCTCAGGAAATGAAAGACTGGTTCATGGTCTGCTAACATGAAAAGTTAAAAGCCACTTTCCTCAGTTTGCCGAAGAGTTCCCATGTTAGAAACTGCTGGGTGGACTGCCACCTATCCACAAAAAATGTTTTATTCCTATTGTGGAATAAAATAATTGAGGTTCACAGGACAAGAAAGAGTAAAGTAAGCAACAGTGATCCTAAGTGCAGCCACACAGCAGAGAGGGAGAATCCTGAGGGCTGGTCCTTATTTTAACATCACTTACATATTTGGTTGGTTTTACCAAGGAGATCTTGGTCAATACCTTATTTTCTATTATTTGTCTTTAAACACAGCTGCATCTAAGTGGCCACTATAATACTGGAGTCTGAGGTGCTTGGTATCAGCATGGATTAAAAAAGCTAGAAAGTATTTAGATTGAGTTAGAAGTTACTGATTTGGGCAACTCTACTAAACTTACTTAAACAATAGAGTAGTAATATCTCAGAGGTAATTCCAGCTTGAGGGTGGGAGAGAAAGAAGACTTAAAAAGGGCAAACTTGGGGTTTATCCCGGGGAGAAAAGAAAGAACTAAACTATTTACCTACCAGTTTAACTTCAATTCTTGGAAGCATTTGGAATAAAAGATGTTCGTAAGTATCTAGAAAGTTAGATGAATGACAATGATGTGCCAAGAACTGTCTGTGTTGACTTAAATCTCGTTTCTTTCTTTACATGGTAAAAGGTAGTGAACAAACCAGAAGGTATAGATGTCATATCTTGCTTTAACCAAACCACCTCTTAGACATTCACTTAGGAGGTAGGAAAAACCAACTATACTCAAATGTCAGTGAAGGTGATGGAAAGTCTGCATGCAAGAACTAGTAATTCTTAATGATCACTCTCAAAACAGAAATATGTGAAAAGAGGGTCCCTTCATTTGTTCACCTGGGGTCAAGCCAATTCAGTATTTTCACTGATGACATTTTGGATGAGTGTGATTTTTCCTGTAGCCTAAATTGTGTCTCTGTATGGGGATGTCCTACATGGCTTTAATGACATGGGATAACGTTCTCTGTCTGCCCTGCAACTGAAAGTTTTGGTTTACTTAAAGTCTGGGTGCTATTTTAGTCCTAGATATAAAAAATACCATTTCATATTAGCATGATGTCATTGTTCAGGTAACATTTCTTACTTCAGTGCTATCTGTTGGTCCTGAGGTGTTCTTGAGAATTGCTGTGGGTTAACCCCAGTAGGCAGCTAAGCCCCACACAGCTGCTTATTCCCTGTCCCTAGTTGGGATGGGGGAGAGAATAGGAAGGGTGAAAGTGAGAAAACCACGTTCACCCAAGACAAGGATGTAGTATCTCAATATGAAGTGAGAAATGCTCGTATTTTATAGGGCCAGGAACATCTTTGAAACTCCCTGGAACCAGCCAAGGTGGAGGGCCCAGCCCAGCTGTTAGGTATGCGATTGTTTATTTTTTTTTAAAATGTGACTAGTTACAAATGAGCAAATCCTAAATTTGACTAATGAAAATTAAATGTTTCAGGTAAAAGTGTTTAAATGCTCTACCAGTAATTATCACTGATGGATAATGTGCTTAACATCCTCAGGCCAGTAACTCAGTCAGGAAGACCTATTACAGGATTTGTGAGGCCCAGCACGCAGGGTGGGCGGCCAGGCACGATGGAGCAGGCCCTACGAACGCCCCGAACGGCTCTCACGGCTCGGCCGGTCAGCAGCGCCTCGGGGAGGTGCGGCAGGCTGGGCACGGTGAGTGTGCGCCTCCCTCCTCAGCGCAAGGACTGGCGTGGTCCCGGCGTCTGGTACAGCCACCCGGCGGCTGCCTTAAAAGCTGAAGTAGTTGAGCATTTTTAATTTTCTCTTTAAATTTCAATGTTTCAAAGTAGAGCTTGAAAATGTTACTTCTTGTTAGTTTGCTAGTCTGTTTATATAAGAAATACACATAAATTCACAAATTCACAAAAATTTACATAAATGTCAAGTTCAGGAGTTCTGTGAGACTCATTTTCATTCACTGAAGGCCATGAAATAACTACGACATAATTTCATCCTAAGTAGGTTGAAACCTTCTCCCAGGTTTTTCAGTTTACTACAAAACAATTCCTAATCTCTGTGTCTGTCACTTGAGAAGATAAACAACACTAGTTTTATGCAGTTCTATTAGCAAAATTTATTAACTGCAAATGGTAATGTAATGCAGAATATCATCACATTAATGGCAAAATGTGGTATCTTCCCACTACTGCAGGTATGAACTGATCTTTGTTGAAGATTTTTTTATTATGTATCCCAACTGCTTTCACTCTACCTAACAGTCCAGGCTCCATGCTTAGGCATAGTATGGAAATAGTGGAGAGAGGGAAGAAGAAGGTAATTCCAGACAGTAATTCATGCAGCCCTATTCAGGGACTGTATGGGAATAGGACAAATTCCTGGATTTCAGAAAAGGTAAAATTCAGTAAAAAAGAGTCTATACTACACAGTAGAGCAGCACATCTACAAATGCTTTGTTTGAGTTTTTTTTAGTATGCTATTAATGTTTTTCAGTTTTCAGGAAAAGTGTGGGGGATCTGCCTGCTTAAAACCTTCCTTCTCCCTTTCAGGCTTCAATGATAACAAATCCAGATGGCCCTTTCATAAATCTGTCTCGTCTGAATTTAGGAAAATATGCTCAGAAACCCAAACTGGCAAAGGTATGTAACTATTTTGGTTAATGTGGTATCTTTGTAATAAGCTACATAATGATTTATCACTCTGTGGCCTTTCAGTTGAATCTTTCCCCAACACGACCAGTTATTTGTATAGATGTAGATGTTTTCTTTGTTCACAAAAACCAGCTGTTGGGCTGAGACCAACAACTCATTTTGCATGAGGTATGAAATGGCTATCAGACACTCTCAGGAGCTATATCTGGCTAGCAGCCTGGACTTGAAAGGACCCAACTGTATTCAGTCTATTTTGAGAAATGTAGCAGTGAACACTGTTAGAAGACTAGCAGTACCTAATAATCTGCTGGTGGAAACTAGGTCTTCCACTCCAAAACTTAGTTAATTTTCCGTAAACAATTAACAGATTCCTTTACTTTTTAAATCTGATAGACTTTGCTTTTAGACTGATGTAGGGCATTGCTTTTCAATATGGTTTTCAGAGGAAATACATTTTGTGTGATTGCACTGTGTTCTTCACCTGCTCCTTACGTCTCTGTCCCTTGGCCTCTTAACCAAACTAGTTCTAGTCTGGTGAGATAATGAAAGACTTCCAAACCATCTGAAGGCAGTTAGGAGTCTTTTATCAGCTTTTCTTTATCAGCTCTGAAAAAAACTGCAGGCCTTTTGCCCATTTATGCCCTTGCCAGCAATCAGCCATCACACACATCTTTTTAAATCCATCACAGTCTGTAAAACAGGAAGAATGTAAGAAACCTGGGAAGGATTAAAAAACACTAGACACATCCGTAAGAAACTAGACTTAGTTCTTTTGCTTGAAGACAGATAGCTTTTAATTGTTTGGTAACTCTATATGCTATTTCAGTAGGTGGATTAGCTTTCAGATGAAATATTTATTCTCAGCAGCAGCTCTTGGGAATGAGAAACATATGCTTTTTTTTAAGTTTTGTTTTTTGATTAGCATTTTCTGGGACAATGGAGTAGCTCTGTCTTCCTCAGTTTTGTATGAAAAGAGGCTTAATCCAAAACACTGTAAAGCAACAGTCATAGAAACATCCATAGGCAGGCAGGGTAGTTGTCAGTATTATGAAGCTAATGCATCATGACATTAACATTTCTCACAGAATGTAAGATCTAAGTTTAAATTTGGAGCTATGTGGGTTTGTAACTTTTTTTTTTTAAAACAAGATGGCATTAAGGCCAAAGCCAAAGTAGGGGGTGAGACCGCAGACTGCACTCTGTGTTAAGAATTATTGATTAAAGTTTTAAAACTCTATGAGCTGTCACCTCTTCCAGGTGCAAAAAGTTGATAAGTCTTGCAACTGTTAAATTCACATAATTCACCTATGTATTCATGTTGGTATCTACTCCTCCTACATACTTCCTTATGTATTTGCAACGTATACTCATCCCATCTTTTTATTAAGTAAGATTATCTATCTTGCATGACTAGGTCATTCGATGTTTTGAAGTGTATTTTGAAATGTGGCTTCTCTCTGACTAGCATCAGCCATGTTAAGGACTACAGCAGGACACCCCAAAGTAGACATACGAGCTATCGCCTGTCGCCAGAGAGAGCCTCTGCTACATCTCAGTTAGCTGCTGGTTTATGGCATGAAACAGGACGTTTTCTCTTTTTGAGCTTGTGGATTTTTGATAGACTTATTAAGATAACTCCAGATATTTCTATCCAAGTGAATGTTCAGTCATTTAAATCCTTTTGAAGGTCAGGGCCTATAGATAAAAGCAGTAAATTCCTTGTGCCAGCCATGCAGGAAAACCCCTTTTTTATCACTTTAGGTTTACTCACTTTTACTGAATACTTACCTGTTGTTGAACTAGAGGAGGAAATGGTTTGCTACATCTCTATTTTCTGTTCTTTTGTTCTCCACCTATTCTGATTTCCCTATAAATGTGCTTTTATTTATAATTCTTTAATGTCTTTTAATCACCTGTTCAGTCTTTTCTGAACAAAAGTGTAAGAAAAGTAGGTTGTGGTTTACTTTCCTCACCAGGCATGACAATTCATTAGTCATTCTCTAGTTTCCTTAAAAGAAATCTTTTAAGAATTTTGTCTAAGAAAAGCTGGCAGCTAGTGACAGAAACACTTAGAAGACTCCTATCTTGTTCTTTATTTTTTTTCCACATTGGGCCATATTTTGTTTTAGCTTTCTATAATGAAACCTAAGAATTTATAAAAATATTCTGTTCTTTTGAAGCAATTAAGGCCTGAGATTTGGATGCAGAAAAAGATTAAGGTTAACACAATTGAACCTTGTGTTACTAGCACACATACTGCAGTTCTGAGAATAGAGACTTCCAGTCTCCATTTAGTTATCTAGTATCGTTCAAGATAATTTTGTTAACTTAAAATGCCACCCCCGTTACCTGTTACGAGCTCTTCTATATTCTAGAACAGCTCCAAGGCAGTATGACTTGCTTATCTATATACAGAGGTAAACAGAGATGCAGTTATATTGGGGTGCAATCGTTGTGGGCTTTTGAGCTGTTACCGCAGCACAGCTGATGCGTGTAGCTTCTTTCAGCTTTAGTATTATGATAGAGTGAGTTTCAGAAACACAAAATATTGTTAGCATTTATTATTTACAAATTAAAAAAATTAGGTTTTCCTTTACAGGTCCCAAAATTCTGTATGGTTTAGAACTTTTTTTCCCTAAGGCAAAATTTGCTATGTTCTTAATAAACCTATGTTTAATTTAAGTAGATTTTGCACTACATAAGCATCTACATATTCATTGCAAAAAGTCTGTCTTAGATTACTTGTTGATTTTTACAGTTGAAAAGTCATGAAAATGGTGTCAGGTTCTTGAAATCTATATTCACTTTGACATTATAGATGCCGTTTTGTGTTTGTTTTTTTTTTCTTTTTTAAGTGACTTTAAGGATGAGAGAGAAGACACAACTAATCTCTCGCAATAAATAAAGAATTAAAATGCTTTCCTGTAATGACAGTGTAGTACATCTATAGTTTTTGTCTATTCAAGTCTTAATTAAATGTAAATGTCAGCAATTGTGATGTGTGAATGTGATTGCCTTCACAAAGAATTAATTTCTGCATACCACAATCAAGATTCTGTATTCCTCTAAAATAGTATTGCCATTTTTTATCTTCAAATATGACAAGTTTTAAATATTCTTCTGACAGGCACTGTTTGAATATATTTTTCACCATGAAAATGACGTAAAAAATGTGAGTAATTCATATGTTCCTTTTTCGTTTTGTGTTAAGTATCATTTGGTTATTTCTGTCAGTATTCTGCTAAACCAAGGATCCAGGTAGTATATCACATCCGAGTACAGAAGTGGAGCATTAAAAGGTGTTTAAGAGAGAAAAGTCCTTTCTTACAGGAGTGATAACCAGAGATGATAATTTGCACATACCAAGATACAGATTGCTTCCTTTTTTAAGAAGCAAAACATTCTAATGCTTAAAACTATGTCCCTCATCTATCAACGTAAGACCCCTGTACCTAATAATTTAACGTGAACAGATTTTACTGGAGCCTTATTTAGCTGACCAAACAGTTATTGATTTTTCTACAATACTGGTTACTTGTGTGTGATTAGACCTGCAGTTAAACTCTCCATTTAATCAGTAGCTGAAACTACATGTCAGGTAGCTGAACTGCCTAGAAAGTTCAGAATTCCGAAGGCTTGAGAGTGAGCAGTAAGTTACAGAAGACTGTCCATTAAAAGAAGGTGACAATATCTGACAAAATAGTGGTTGAAGTGAGCATCATTTTACATTTTAAACTACTGAAGTGGTTCTTTATGCATTTGGGTGAAAGGTTTTTTTTAATGATACAGTTTCCCTCTTACGATATCCAAGATTATTCTTATGTTGTTCTTCCTATGTTAGTGCACTGGATGGGTAAGACCAACTTTGGGCTGATTATTGTTTAAACTTTCAGAAATAGATAAAGGTTGCAGAACTTTTTTGGCAGTTCACTCAGGGAAATAATTAATTTAATTAATGAATAAACTGTCAAAATATTTCATTACTATGTTAGATATATGCATCCCATGGAAATGGAATAAAAATTTTGCTTGAAGTTTGTTTGAAAAAGCTGTTTGGGTCAATAATACATAGCTAACTAAACAGTTACTGCATTTTCTGCAATAAATTAACTGTCATGTGATTAGATCTGAAGTTAAACTCTCCAGTTAATCAATAACACACAAAATATATTTTGTTGTTGTTGACGTAGATCAGAATAATTTGCAAATGTAGTGCTACGTGAAGCTTTTTAATCTAGTATCAAATGATTATAGCTGTACATTGCCAATTTATTGCATAGCATTCTTTTAAGAGGATTGAATTGCAATGAACTATTAATCCAAAATATGGTTGAAACAGCAAGTGCAAGTGTCAGAAATGTCAGAGAGAAATAGCAACTAACATTTACATATTCTGATACGGAATATGAAGGGAGTGCCTGGGTTTTATGCCACTAATAATTAAAATTTGTTTTGTTTGTTATGAAGAACTTGGTTCACTAAATATAGAAGAGTCATTTATAAGATTCCACATGTGCCTGTGACCTACACCATAAGGACATGCAGGATCTCTAGGCTAGACAGCTAATATCATATAGTGCCAGGAATTTTTTAGGTACTCCAGAAAAAAAATACTAAGATGTTTTTTACACTGTACTGCATGTATTTTGAAATCCTTCCTGAGAATCCCAAATCACTCGCTGTCTTGCAGGGAAAGTTTTGGCTGGGTTTTTTTGTGTCCCCTGGCCACTTGAATAAGTATTGGCAATCAAAGAAGTGTCAGTTTAGTCACCCCTGTTTTTTGTGTAGTGAGAGGCAGATCAGCATGTTTGGCTAATGATAGCATCTTGTAGGAAAAAAAAAAATTCTCACACTTCACAGTATGACCTGCCTTTATAATGTCATGTGTATCTCTGAAGAGATATTTAACTGTTCCTTTTGCTTTCTCTTGTTTGCTTTCATTCCTCTTCTGCATTTTAGACACCATTTTCAATATAATTCTATTCTCAAAACTGTCCTCACTTCCTTTTGAACCTCATCTACGTTAATTTCTCTTAAACAAAAAAAGAAATATAACTTCTGCTTAAGGTTGGCTGCATTCCTGTTTATTCACCGTTCCTACCAATGGCATTTCACTGATTCATTTTCTTGCTTCTCCCTGAAAAGAATTTGGCTGCTTAGAATTCAGCAGAGGAACAGCTGGTAGGTTAACTATTTAAAAGTTGATCTGGACCTTGCTTGATAACCCATTAGAAATATTTACTGACATCTCTTGCATCTTTGCATTACCTGCTACTGTGTAATGTTGCGCATTCTTAAAAAAACACCTAATGTTTTTCTGCATGAGATGAGATGGAAGAGCTTGGAAGGCTTGAAAGGCTGGAAACTTTGCTTAAGTTTGCAGCTGTACAGACTGAAAAGTCTGCGCTTGTGGACATTCTGCATGGGTAGAATTGGAAGACCAATTCCTGCAGTTTTGCAAATAAACCACAAAAGTAGTAGTGACAATATCCTTCCTTTATCACTGTGGTTCTCAGCTGAATTATTATTTAAGAAGCAAAGCCAGTGCTATTATTTATCCTCTGTTTAGTATTCACACAGTATATAGAAAGAAAAAAAAGCCTCAGCCATTTCAGCTGAGAAATGTCATTCATCAGTGTGTATTTGGCTGGATAGATAATGCTATGAACTCGGTTCAAGTTAGAAGTAAATACATCTGTAATATATCAGTTATCATGGGGATTAAAAAAGAGAAGCTCTGACCTTTTTCATCACTTGAAAATGTATTCAAAATTCTTTCATCTTATTTAATAAAAAATTAAACACCTCTGAAAAAATTACTATTACCCTATCTGTTATTGCGCTTTACTTGTTTCCTTTGGAACACATATACTTAATAACTGACTTCCTGTACCCCTTGAGCTCTTTATAAAAGCCATTTTATGGGGTAAATGCAGTAAGAGCAGGGCACTTTAAAAGACTTCTCCAGAAATAGTTAAGTTCCTACTTTTTTTAGTAGTATCTGAAAGATACTACAGACATATTCTGCCATTTTTTAAAAGCAGTGATGATGGCAAGACACCTTGTCCTGAGGAAGAACAATGGGTGTACATATTATACTTGGGGCCAGAAGTCATGACTGCTGATATTTCCTCAGTTTTTCCTAATATTCTGCAGTTTATACTCTCTGAGAGAAGTCTTTTTATAATGGAATTACGTTAGATTTACAAACCATAGAAATCTGGAAGACATGCACCAAAAGAAACAGTGTTAAATTTGCTATGGCTAATGTAACTTGCTCAGCTATCTTATAGACTATCCTGTGTTGATCTGTCTACACCTAAGACTTTAGTCAATAACCATTGTTGGGAGAATTACTGCCATTGAACAGCTCTTGAAAGAAGCAGCAGACACGTGTTATTGTTTACGGCTATCTAATTTCTTGGTGCATACAATACTATGTATGAACTTACTAAGTTTCAAACAAATGTATATTTACTAATTTAATTTTGCAGTACAATAGTAAATTGCTACAACCCTACAAGCTGGTTTATACTGAGTTACAGATGGTAGACAATTTGGAGGTCTTAGTTATAACACAGTCCAACTAAGGAAGGAACGAAATTGTAAAAAAATTAATCTAATTATATCATGCTAAATACAGTTACAATTAAAGAATCTACATTCTTTTGAATTTAAAACCAGCTCTGATTCATTCATTAAGAAAAAAAAAAAGGCAGAAAACCCACTAAGTATTAGGGGTTTTTTATTGGTTTGATTTGAACAAATACAATAACGGTGAGTAAAATAAATTTGTTCTGAAAAGCTCTCCAGGGCTAAAACTGTTACTGAAATGGGCTCCAGCATATATGAATAATGATGCTAAGTGCTCTATAAAGTAGCAGCTTCAGCTGACCAGTGTTTCCAGATGATGAGTTATAGCCTAAAGTTTATTAAAACATTTGGAACAATCACTGTGATTTTATTTCTGATATGGATGTTAGAAAGAAAAATCCTTAAAAGGACATACCAGTATCTGCCAATCTACAAGCCGTGCTGATTTTCCCCTTCTAGTTATTAATACATCATTCAGCAATGCACAGAGTGCAGGACAGGCATAATGCTTACCGCTGCTAATATAGATCGATTTTAAATTAACATGCTGTGCAGATTGAACATTGATTTGTACCTAAACTGCACAATTAACAAAAAGAAAAAGTTTGCGGCAAATTGAAATTGAAATATGCTGTCAGTTGGTATTGACATGGCAAAGTGAAGCCTTTGACTTTAAGACTCTATTTTAATCAATTTATTAACATTTCGCATTGTCAGAAGACTTTTTTTGTAATACCAGCAGAAGGTCTAACTATTAGCATGCAAAAAGCTGATGTTGATATGCACAAAGCCTTTTCAGGCAAACACTTTTTAGAAATATTGTAACGTTTGTTGTATTTTTGGATTAAAGTTTTTGCTATCTCTTGTAAAGTATCAGAAACAGGATTTTCCTGTTTCTTTCCTACTTCATTAGTAAGAAATTATAAAAACAGGACTTGATTTCAGAAACTAACTCCAAAATGAAGTGAGGCTTTGTTTCCTAATGTTAGGAATAAGATCCCAATAAGAGTTTGGGATCTGCACCAACAGATAGATAAACTGCTGATGTTAGTGTCTATTAAGCCTGAAGCAGTCTTAGTTCCCACTTTTCAGTAGCCGCCAGAATTGTTAACCCTGCATAAAATAGTTATCAGGAATAATTAAGGAGCTGAATGTGTAGCTACAGAAGGGATCGTCTTCTGAAATTCGGTCCTTCTCCTTCAATACTTGTCATCAGAGCACTCTAGGGAAAGTTCTTTGAAGCATGTTATTTGCAGTTGTAGTCCTTACCCATTTTAAGTGGCTGCTCATGCTGCATTAGAGGCAAGCTTATACCTTTGTAAATGCAAAAGTAACTGATGTTTTAACATCAGCTGCATTCCCCAATTTTCCCGGTACTGAGAAAAAATTGATTGTATACCTTCAGTTAAAAGAAAGTATTTGTCTGTAAGGGAAACCAGTAATTTCTGTCTTGAAGCAAGCTTCTTCCCCGTTATAGCTCTATAGTCCAGAGGCCCTGCTGTGCGATTGCAAAGCCATTAGGAAACAAAGGGCAACAAAGAGCTGCCAAATGAGGTCTTCGAGGATTCCACCTAACTGGAAGAAATAGTGACTTCAGAGTTGTCAGCTTTCCTCAGTTTTCTCTCTCTTGCACAGAGGCGGGGCATGACAACTATCTTTTTCTCTGAGGACAGCATCAATATAACTCGAGCCTGAAATGGTGCAGAAAACAAATTATTCTTTCTCACAGAGCCAAAAACTGGTTTTGCTCTGCTATGTCAAATGTACACCCGTTTATTACTTGCAGCCTCATTTTGCTAGCAGGAATCAAACCTAGATGTAAATAAAGTAGCGTCTTTCTAGTAGTTCAGGTATTCAGATTATGTTTTTTTTCCTGAAATTATTGATTCTTCTGCTAAGTGGCCAGTGCACAGAACTTTTTCATACTGTTCCTAATATAGCTAGTTTCTGATTTTTGTGGCCTGCAAAATGTTTATAAAAACAGAGTCAGTTCTTTGTTGTAAAAATACTGCTTTAAAGCTTCTTCGACTATTTCTTTTGATATCCCTAAAATATAAGTACCAAACATGGCATGGCTTTGATAAGTTCTGGCACAAAATGGAATTTTGAAAAAAGGAATGCTAAAAATTTCTTTTTTAGTAGGTTTTGGTACAGCACACACATCTATTTGTTTTAACAGAAATGTTGAAATTATACCTAAAACATGAAAACCATTTAAACTGCCTGTGGTGGTTGATTAGTGAAACAACTTTTCTAGTATACCAGATAAAAGAGATTTTAGGCCTCCACCTTTTTCAATAGGTGCCTGTTTCTTAGAATATTTGTCTATTTTTCCTGTCATAAAATAATTTTTTACATCATCGACTTTTTAAAGGAAGTATTTCATACTGTACACATCTGAGAGTTCACAGAAGTGGACGCAGACTGATATTAGCAATTAGACAATTTCTACAGTATTTCAAATTGACTGAACTGATTTCTTTCTTTTAGTGTATTTTTTACTTGTTTTTCATAACTTTAGTTTAGTGAGCAAGGGTGGGAATCTTGGAAAAAGCATGCTGACTTACACAAATATTATGTATATTCTGAAGCAGTTCTTCAGGAATCTGATTAAATTAATTTCATTTTTCTCATTGAATTACTAGAAGCTATTTGGGTTACATATTCTAATAGGGACAATTTATCCTTTCAACTGCTTTATGCACTAAGCTATAAAACTGTTAAACAAAGCAATGCCCCTACCTCATGTTTACCAGGACTTTTTATTCAAAATTTTCTCCTTACAAAAATCTTTACAGTGTTTACTTAATGTTCTTTTTCTTTGTGTAAACATTGACAGTATTAATGTTAAGATGATGGGTTTGTTTTGGAAGGCTCTAGATTTGGCAGCCCTTGCCACAGAGCACGCACAGTTCAAGGACTGGTGGTGGAAAGTCCAGATTGGGAAGTGCTACTATAGGTAAGCCATTGTTCATTCTTCTGTGATCAGTAGTGTGCAGGACCTGAGCTGCTGGGTGTATTGTGCAATGCTGAACACTGAGAAAGAGTTCAGTAAGTATTTAGATGAAGAGCACTTTGCTTACAGTTAAATGTCTTTCAATATAGAAGGAGATGATGTTCAACTTCTTGAGTAAAGGCACCAACATTAAGTACCTTTAAGTAACTGAATTAGTTCCATATTCACCTTTGTCAATGTGTTTCAAAGTTGTTGTTTCAAAGCAAGTAAATCAATACAAAGAACTATTGTTAAAAAAGACCACACTAAATTAAGATTACAGTATTAGCTTGAGAAATTGTCAATAAGAGCTTCAGGTTGATGAAATAAGAAGTTGTTTCATATTACATACTTTCTGCCAGAGGTATGTTGCCCAAGAAGTACCAGTTCCAAAGATGCCAGGGCCTCAAGGCTAGCACCCAAAACCTGCACGTCTGGTACAAATGACTGAGGAGTACCCCGGTGCTGCGCAGCCTCTCTGAGCAAAGAGTGGTAAAAGCAAGGAGGAGAACTTGCTGCAAGCAGTTTGGAGTGTTGCTGAGGTTCTAGCTATGATTGTAACAGCCAGTTCTGTCAAATCAGGTGAAACTCCTCCTGATACAACCCTACTGCCCATAATTCAAACAAGTACTGAGGAAGCTCCACCTTTCATTCTCTACAGTGTGTTTGTCCCATGAATGTAAAACATCTGGTTACTGTTTTGGTTGTTAAAAAACTGAAGCATCATCTGGAGTCTTTACAATGCTATGAGCAATTTTGTATGAACAGGCTCATAATAAAAAGCAGTATGGTGCTTTGTAGATCTGGCTCCTTTAAAATTCCAAGTTGTATCTTGTCTTGAAACTATTGCTTCTTTTTAGATGCCCAAACTAATGAAATTCTTCATTATCCTTAACAAAAGGTAATTTGAATGAATTTTACATTCTTTAGAAGGTTACACTGATTATTTTTTTTTAAGCTGTGGTAGGTTGACTCTGGCTGGACACCAGGTGCCCACCAAAGCTGCTTTATCACACCCCTCCTCAGCTGGACAGGGGAGAGAAAATACAATGAAAGGCTCATGGGCCACAGTAAGGACAGGAGGAGTTCATTCACCAATTACCGTCATGGGCAAAACAGACACAACTTGGGAAAAAATTTAATTTATTACTAATCAAATCAGAGTAGGGTAATGAGAAATAAAACCAAATCTTAAAAACCAGCTTCCCCCCACCCTTCCCTTCTTCACAGGCTCAATGTCACTCCTGAATTCTCTGCCTCCTCCCCAACAGCGGCACAGGGAATGGGGAATGGGAGTTGTGGTCAGTTCATCAAGTGTTGTTTCCGCTAATCATTGCTCAGTGTGGGGTCCCACCCAAGGCAGCAGTCCTTCACAAACTTCTCCAATGCGAGTCCTTCCCAGAGGCTTCAGTTCTTCACAAACCACTCCTTTTCTGCAGGATGTAGTCCTTCAGGAACAGGCTGCTCCAGCATGAGTACCTCATAGAGTCACAAGTCCTGCCATCAAACCTGCTCCAGCATGGGCTCCCCTCTTCACAGGTCTACAGGTCCTGTCAAGAGCAGGCTCCAGCACAGGCTTCCTGCAGGGTCGTTTTTCCAACAGGTTTTTTTTTTCTTTCTCAAATATGTTATCACATAGGTGCTACCACTATCACTGGCTGGCTCAGCCTTGCCAGCAGTGGGTCTGTCTTGGACCTGACTGGCATTGGCTTTTATTGAACATGGAGGAAGCTTGTCCAATAAAACCAGGTTCTCACAGAAGCCACCCCTGTAGCCTCCCCACTACCAAAACTCACCACACAAACCCGATACATGACCTCAGAGGTAATTCATCACGTTCAGGATTTTTGTGAGTAGCGGTATAGAGACTAAAGCATCCAGGCAGGCACTGACAGACATAGAATCATAGAATCATAAGGGTTGGAAGGGACCTCGAAAGATCATCTAGTCCAACCCCCATGTACTTCTAGGATCCAGGGTTACCTTGTGTCCCCATTAGCTGTGCTTTTTTTTGTTCTGGCTGACTTTTTCTGCCTATGTTTTATGTTTCTTCACCAAGTATATGTGCTCTTTGGCTGAAGGAAAGAAAAGGCAACTTGTATATCAGAAAGTGTACCTTTGTGCTATTGTTGAAATATTACAGTCCTCTTAATTGTGTAGTCTATATAGAACTTATTGTTTACTGCAAAATATTCCACAGTAATACTGCAAAACAAATGCTTTTAACATGAAATGGACTTCTGTGAGGTTCTTGTGCCATGTACTGCCCACTCCCAATGTTATCTGGATGGTCTTAAGCTGTGGTGCCATTTACAATACAGCACATTTTCTACACACGGTTAATGATTTTTGATATCAGTGACAGAAGTGTCACCATTTACCATATGAAGCTAGTAGAGTGTTTTATAAATGACTAAGCATTACCTAAACTTTACAGTGGAGGGTGTTTACATGGTCTTTGCCATGAATGAGGAGATTCTGCTCCAAAACCATGTGAGTGGAGGTTGAGGCATGACGTTAGTTGCTCATTTCCTACTGTCTATTCTGTACAAAGAGTGGGAAGTAGCCTAAGAAAAGGAGTAGATCAGTACTCAGTTAGCTCCAGAAGGCTGCATGTACAAAAGGTGACCCAGTTTCATTAATTTGCCTTTTTCATAGTTTTGAATGGTTGACTTTGTAACTTTAATATATTTAACAGTGTGGGGTTTGCTAACATGTACGTAAATACATGACCTTAAAGTATGCTTCTGCATAGTTCATGTTTGGTTTAGTGTGCCCTGCTTCATTATTTAATAAGCTTTTTTTTAAAAGAAAAATATACCACCACAAACAAACACCTTCTGAGTCTGTCTGTTTTCTCTTCAGGTTAGGACTGTATCGTGAAGCTGAAAAACAATTTAAGTCAGCTCTCAAACAGCAGGACATGCTTGATACAATCTTGTATTTGGCAAAAGTAAGTCTTTGATTTGCTTGTTTAAGAAAGAAGTGAAATTCCAGACTCTCTGAGAAGTCCAGAATAGCTGAGTATCAGGCTTGATACACTGTTAAGTTTAGTAGTGTGTGATTTCCACGCAGACCTGTGGCAATACACGCTAACAGTTGACATTGAAGTCTATAGTTTACAAAAAGATTTTGGAACTTCCAGATTTCTCAGAAACACACACAAACAAAATCTGTTACTGTATTCTGTGCTCTAAACTCCAATGAGAATTATGTAGGTAACATATTATTGAATGAGTTCAGTATGAAGAACAACATACCCATATATAGTCTCCTAGGAAACTAGTGCAGTTAATCAGTAAGTAGTGAAGCTCAAAATCCTAGTCTCACAAGCAAAATCAAAACAAAGTGAGCTTAACAAAAACAATCAAAGACCTTGAAACAGAGAATGTTCTGTCAAAATAAAGGCATTAAAAGCTTTAAAAGAGTGCTTTAAGCACAGCTAAGCCTCAGCCTGTTTACCAGGGTACATATCAGATTCTAAATATTTTCTAAGACATTCAAGAAAAGGTAGGCTGTGAGAAACTAAAATTGCATTTTAATTCCTCTTGTCCTAGAAAGAGATGGAATCAGTTGTTCTTTATCAGGTTCCTTTAAGTCAACTGTTACAGGCCTATCCAAAAGTCCTCCCTGTTGGTGGATAATTCAGATATTCATTTTATGATACTTACTATACCTTTACATTTTATGAACAATTTATACTTTGTATTTGAACAATCCTCATTGCTGTCTGGAGACTTGTCTTATGGAATCATAGAATCCTTTAGGTTGGAAGGGACCTTCATGATCATCAAGCCCAACCATTGAGCCATTAGGGCTCTAAAGTCCTCTGCTAAAACAGATCAGAATCTGTCAGGGTTGGAAGGGACCACAAGGATCACCCAGTTCCAACCCCTCTGCCATGAGCAGGAACACCTCCCACTAGATCAGGCTGCCCAGACCCTCATCCAGCCTGGCCTTAAAGACCCCCAGGGATGGGGCCTCAACCCCCTCCTTGGGCAACCCATTCCAGGGTCTCACCACTCTCATGGGGAAGAACTTCTTCCTCATGTCCAGCCTGAATCTGCCCACTTCCAGCTTTGCCCCATTCCCCCTAGTCCTGTCGTTACTCGATATCCTAAAAAGTCCCTCCCCAGCTTTCTTGTAGGCCCCCCTAAGATACTGGAAGGCCACAATGAAGTCACCTCGGAGCCTTCTCTTCTCCAGACTGAACAGCCCCAACTCTCTCAGTCTGTCCTCGTAGGAGAGCTGCTCCAGCCCTCGGATCATTCTGGTGGCCCTTCTCTGGACACGCTCCAGCAGGTCCACATCCCTCTCGTAATAAGGGGTCCAGAACTGGATGCAGTACTCC